CAGTTCGTCAAGCTTGCAGTCGGTTATGATGTCCAATAAAACGTTTCCGGCACGGCACTGCAAAATGGCCTTCCCTAACGTTTCGGGATCTTCGTCCCTCTTCAGCCATTCCACAACAACCCTTTTTTGTAAGTATCGACACCCTCTTTTCAGCATCCAAGTTAACTGGGATACATGGCACGTGATAATTTTGGAAAACGAATAAGGAAATCTCGACAGGATTATTAACAGTTCGTCGCCAAGAAGTAGGGCGCTCTTAATTAGATTATCCCTCAATATGTTCGAATAAATATTACATAAACATTTCAGTAATTCAGGACTCAAGGTGAACCTATCATAAGAGTATACAAATCTAGATAGCGAGTCAACCACCTCAGAAGAATTCCACGGTAAGCTAGAATGTGAGGTTTAATAAAAAGAAAAAAACAAAAAAAAATTGATAAGTAGCTAACTCACCTGCTGTAGGTGCACAAGTAACTACAAACATAAAAGAATGTGTTGGTTTGAATGTGCGGCCATTGCATTACATCTACAGGTAGTTGTAAAATTTCGTTTAAAACAGTGGTATACTCCTCTTTGGTACCTATTTCCTCGGATTTGTATTCGGAAATCAAAATAGCAAGTAATTTTAAACTCTCTTTCCTTAGCGTCGACTTAGCAGAGAAAATAATAATGCGGTGTGATACTTTCTTTAAGTTGTATCTGAACTCTTCGATGTCAGTATTTGTAGCGTAAGAGCAATCGGTGTACAATTTGAAGATTACTATCAGTAATGTCAATAGAGTATCATCCTTATTATTCTGTAATATAACATATATATACGTTTTTGATCATTATGCATGATAATTTCATTCAATTATTTCAGGATTTAAAGTGAAATCATCCTGTATATTACAAAACTGTTTACTATACCTCTGTTAACATATGTGCACTATTTTTCAAAACCCATCCAGCACAGACATTGTACAGTTCTGTAGCAAACGCAAATCTAGGAAATATTTTTGTATTAATAAATAGACACATTTGTAAACAAATCCCCTTACTTTTTAAAAGCAATATCACATAACACGACCATTTCATGAATGATATGCAGATTTTTAAAAACCTCTACAATATCTGCCAAATTCTTTGAAGCACTTGGAGGAAGAGGTTTGTCTATCAGTATTAATTCTTTCAAGATATCGGTGCAATTGGACACGTGAGATTTTGTGAAAATTTTTAATTTCGCTGTCACTGTGAGAATATCTAACACTCTTTCTCTTTCTCCCCAAAGGTACTTCGTATATTCGTTTAATGTTTTCATCCTTAAACAATTTGATTGTCACGTGGTCAATATAAAATTTAATCAACACAACAGTAATTTTAAATAGAACACCTACTTGGATACGAAGTACTTTAGTACTTCCAGTAAATTAAGCAGTATGTCGTCCACATGTAAATTTTCCAAGTTTGTAAGATTCGTCAAAGTAAACTCCCAACAGTGTTTAATAGTCTTCGGGTTATTATAAAACAAGTCCAGTTTACTAAGCTTCTTCAAAAAAGTTAAATTTAATCTAAAATGTTTTTTTATTCTACAACCTCTCCCAAGAGCAATATTTAATTCTTACCGTATCATTTCAAAATTTAAAATGCTGATGTTAAGTATTTTTTGAAATGGGAAACAATTCAACACTTCTTCAAGTTCCTGTCGATCCAAACATTCTACATTATCAACAATGGTTTGAAATTGTTCTTTAGTGAACATTTTCTGCATTTAATCACCTATTTACTTCTAAAATAATATAGACTGGTGTTTATTGTTGAACACCTGACATGAAATGCTTCAACAATCAACTCTGTGACTGCTTTTGTTTTCAGCATTCCATGCTGCTAGATTTCAAATACTTAGATAGCAATGTCAGAAATTCCACAGCCTACTAGGTAATAGCAATGTTAACACCAGATTTATACACGGTGTAACTCTATATGGGATTAGTTTTTTAGGGGTAATAATACGTGTTCCCAGAATACTAATCTAAATTTCTTAAATGTAACAAGTAGACAATGTGTAATTCTTATTTCACACTCTCTTAAACTATTGTCTACGCCATCACTGAGGGAAAAACATTGTATTACATTCGACCATATTAGAGTTTAATATGCTCATATACAGGCTGTTACAAATTCGCTTCTCGCTACAGGGATCTCAGAAACGGTAAGAGATACGAAGTGGCTTAAATGGGGGCTAAGTTGCATAATCAGGGGACCAACATTACGCCTCTAAAAAATCAAGGCTAACATGATTAGTTTTCGAAATATTTGAAAAAAAACGAAATTTTGGAAATCTGTTTTTGTTTAATTTCAGCCTTGTTTGAGGTGATATTGAAAAAAGAGGAACAGTTTCTCATGAGCACTTTTTGCCCTCTACCGAATCGAATAATCAATTTTTATATATCTATCTACCTATATGTAACGTTTCTTCTCTCCAAGACCATCATCACCATTTTTTTAAATACGACCCTTGAAATTTTATTACATTTTTTGCAAGCATTTGTGACCCTCAATACTGTACTGCCTCAGCCCAAACCAGATTCAGACGTTTTGTCTCAAAAAATTCATCTCCAATGTACATTATTAGTTTTAATCTCATACATAATTCGATAAGTTGTTGCGTTAAAATTAAAACATTAATACAATTTTAATTTTATTATGACAAATTAATTCTTAAAAATGCATATAAAGAACCTACACTCCAAATAAATATTATACTTTAAAAAGTTACAGTAAATGTTCAAAAATGTTTCCGTTTTGGCAAATGTTGAAAATGAAGATAAGCATAATATGATCGGAATTTATTATACCTGTAACCGCAACTGTGAAAGAGCATGTCAGATATATTTGTATGAATGTCCTGAAAAAAACATATATTGAAAAACATAGAAATCTAAAAAAAAAATTAGATAAATTTGGAACGATTACATTGAAGATAAATTTTTTGAGACAAAACTACAGAATCTGGTTCGGACTGAGGCAGTACAGTATTGGGGGTCATGAAGGCTTGCAAAAAATGTAATAAAATTTCCATAATGAAGTTGACGATGATCCTGGAAAGACGAAACGTTACATAATATAAAAATTGGTTATGCTATTCAATAGCGGAAGAAAAGTTGCCACAAGAAAGTGTTCTTCTTTTGTCAATATCACCACAAACAAGCTTTCAAATATATTGAAAACTAATCATGTTAGCCTTGATTTTTTAGAGGTATAATGTTGGTCCCGTGATTATCCAACTTTGCCCCCATTTAAGCTTGTTCGTATCTCCTACCGTTTCCAAGATCCCTGTAGTGAGAAGAGAATTTATAACAGCCTGTATACAGGGTGTAACGAATTTTCTGATAACTTAATCTATCCTATAACGATCCTATAAAAAAGTTGTAGGATATCAGGAAACCAATATGCTGATAATTTTGCAATTAAGGTCACACTCAACATTTTTCTTCAAACATTTCCTCCATAATTTTTTAGTTCAGAAAAAAATTTTTTGATACCATATTCGGACATAAAATTTGATACTCTTATCAATTGCTGTCATGAAAAATTTGATGTTCCATTTGATATTTTCAAGTTGGAACTTAAAATCAAGGTCAAACCCAAGGTCATCATCGTCATCACATTTTCTTGATATTCAACTTTTATCGACTTTTTTTGATTTAACTCAATCTTAAAAACTTATTGGAGGGTTTAAGTCATTTTGGGATATTAAAATATTATCTTGCAAAATTTAATATTATTTGCATGGTTTACTAAATATTAACTAATAGAGGATACATTACTAATCGCAAGTTATACCTAACTTAAGTTTTAAAATAATCATTTTGTCCATTTTTTAAAATAAAATGTACCTACATAAATAAATAAAAATACTTACCAGTCCAACAGATTTGAAATACTTTTTAAGATCATTTCAAGTTTTAAATACAAATTAATCTAATTTGTTACTATTCTTTCGTTAAAGCACTCTGCTTAGTTTGTGAATGTGTCACTGGCCTCACAAGTTAAACCTTGTTTAAGTGAATTCTATGTCAATCCACCTGATGTGACATGACAGCAGGGTGCAAGGCTAGGGATAGGAATTGTTAATTCAGCAAAATGAGACTGGCCAAATATGTCTCCGCGTCATTTTAATACTAGGTAGTTTCACAACTTTCCCCATGAAGTATTAATTTTTACTGTAACTTTAAGTGAGGATCAGTTTTTTAAAGGTTATAGTACTTGTTCCCCTGAATACGAATCTGATGTTTTTTTTTTAATTAAATAGTCGAATTATAATTAGATTCTTAAAATGCACATTAATACTTGTGTATGGCGCCACTATATTATCAGTGTTGCCAGATTTTTTTTCGGGCAAAGCGGGATTTTGAAACTTTTTGAATAAAAAAGCGGGATTCTTTCGTCCAAAAACGAAACATACTAAGGGTTTCTATAATTGATGCCTAAATCTATTAATAACAGACCTGGAGAAAATAATTGATGCCTAAAAAAAAAAACAAAACAAGAGCGGGAAAAGCGGGACTGAGCCTGTCACGCGCGGGACATTTAATTTCGGGTTAATAATCGGGACGTCTGGCAACGCTGTGTAATATCCATGTATTACAAATACATGAATTATAGGCAGCCTACAGTGCATGTGCAGGGAGATAGTGTGGGTCAACGGAGACAAAGCGAAGTGGGTAAGTTGTAACTGTGAATTTGAATGTTTTTCATCGCTGGAAGCCATCGACAAACTATTTATTTTTATGTATTTCATTTACCATTATTGAGTACTGCTCGAGTTTTTTCTAGGTTACTTGTTACGTACTGTTTATGTGGCGAACACCCACTCAACAAAAGTAATCCGTGGCAAATTAGCAAAAAATAGCAATTTGTTTCTCAAGGTCAAACGTTATTCTATATAAATATGGTCTCCATTCAAAGTAACACCCTGTGTGTCTTTAGGTATAGGGATTGTATTCAAACAAATGTTAAGTTATTACTTTGCTTTTATTTTTAATGTATTCTCACATACATAATCATCACTCACATCATATTTAAATCGAAAACAAAAAAACTGGAATCAAAATATGCAGTTTGTATTTGTGCTTGTTTGAACCTCTCTCGCTAAATTTTATTCATAAAAAGGTACCAATATAACGGTTTTCATAAGTCTGTGGATGACGATAAAATTAAACGTTATTCAGATAAACTTCTGGGTGAACACATCCGAAAAGGAAATCTTAAATGGGATGATTTGTACGTGTATGATATATACAGCGACTAGAGAAAATTGGCTTCCGTTAGTAGGATGCATTTCCGGGTACGTCACAAAGTTTACAGTTTAAAAATCCGTGATGATATATAACCGTTCTACGACTTACGCAGCCGTTTCGGCTACGGGAAAGACGCGGGAAACACATCCTTCTAACGATGTAAACGATTATAAAACAAATCATCACTGAAACTTACTGTACATATCTAGAGAGCTAATTATAGAGGGGATATCGTCGATATGTAATACAGACATATAACGCCTGTCTAATAAATGAAGAGTATCAAAATATAGAGCTAAGTGAAAAAAGAAAAACACGAAGGAAATAATCGGTTTCCATTGCACTTATACTCACAAGTTGTCATCCTCTGCCTAACTTAACAGTATCAGATCTACGTTATTACAAAATTTCTATATATACATTAAATTTTACGTCTAGCAGTCAAATAATATGATATTACCTATAATTAGGAAAACTAAACTAAACATATCCATATAATATCAATAGTGCTAAATAAAAATTATGTGTATATAGTATAGGTTATATTTCTGTCCGTTGCCGAGATTCCTTTAACCGTCGCTTTGAACATTGCACGATATTCACTCAAACGTTTCACGTACATCAAAACAAAATACAAAGAAATCACTATTACTAGTTTAATTTAACGCGAAATAAACAGATACACAAAATAAACTGAACGGCAAAAATAAACATTCACCTCTCAAAAAGAAAGATAACTTTCCGAAATGTCCCAAGGCAATGTTCCGTTTAACACGTGCTACCGCTTTTGGTATAACCTTAAATTAACGATATGCTATCTATATAATAACGACAAATCATGATCCGAGATTCACAAATGCTCCCTCGCATCAGTACATAGAAAAATCTAAAGAAATGTTAAAAATACCCTACCTAGATTACTTGTCACGTAACAATACAGCGTATTACCATGCCTGAACGAGAACTACCGTCGGCCTACTTTAAGGCGCTCGAATGTGGTCCGTTTTAAGCTGGTCCATAAATTAAGATCTGACGCAGACGGAAACGCGCCGTTGGCTCGGTATAAGTGAATGGAAACGGGGTTACATAAACAAAAAAAAAAATTAAGACTTAACTAAGTTAGAGAGCTGGGTTAGCTGGGCTATCACAAGGGCTTACGTTAGTGAGTTACAGCTCTTTGGCTCTTTCTTGTTTGTGCTGCTTTGTGCTACGTACACAAGACAAATAACAACAGTTTTGAGTATTTAATTATGGTTTGTAGGCCTTATGGAGCTGCAGATATGTTCAGTAGGGTGTGAAACGGTTATATCCACTGCGGTACACGGCAGCCTGCAACAAACAATGCTCGTTAGGAATGGTACAGTCCGTACTAGATTCGTTGACATAGAATTCAAAGTAAAGAATATGCCAATAAAGTTCTGTTATCGGAAGTACTGTAACAATTTACAATGGCAGGGGCATGAGTAGAAATTTTCTGCAAATGTCTTCCTCGGGAGTAAAATGCAATTAAATCCAACAAAGCACTATGATTTTCTCAAAATCTAACATGATAAAATTAAATGAGTAGAAGATAGTAAAATATTTGAACTAAATGAAAATATATCATGAACCATTTACACTTGTACGAGTCTAGATGTAGAATATAAAAATTAAGAAAAAATAACTACGACTGTTCTAATAGTATTAGTCTAATTCGTATAATTGAAAAACAACTAAAGCTCTTTAGTTGAATACTTGTTGATTATCATACTTGAATTTAAGTAAACGAATTTGGAACTAGCGCTGGAAAAAGTACTAGCAGCTACTAACAACAATCGGAACCAAGTTATTATCACATACCAACTAAATGTAACTACATACCCCATATCCAGCCATAGGCCCTATTCCATGTCCAAGATAGGGATCTGCGTAGTCTCTGCCATAACCGGCGACAGCGGCATATCCGGCGACTGGTTGGGCAGCCCCATATCGTGCGGCAACTGCAGTGTACGTCGCGGCCGCGGCGTAGCTAGCCTGTTGGGCAGTCGATAGAGGTGTTTTTAATAGAGGTGTGGCGGCAGCTGCAGCCTAGAACAGATACAGCCATGCACTGCCATGCACATCTAAAGCCACTAGATGCAAGGTCTTTGAGGCTGTGGTGCTATGTACACGGTCCCCTACGTTGTAACCGGGTAATTTTCATAATGGGTTCGAAATAGGGTATAGGGGCAGCCATTTTACTTTGGTTCGAGGTTTTCGGTATGCGTGCTTCTTTCGATTTTTAATTAAAAAACAAATTTTGGAAGATCTAAATCATAAAAATTAATCGCTGGTCTATATCACATAAGAAACGCTCATGAGGGAAGCCTAGAAGCAAAGTGATTCTGGCTATCTCTAGACTCTAGGTTCAACATAGAGATGCTAGATTCGAATATTGATACCGGTATCCAACAATACTGTTACTTTTAAAGTATCGATACTCAAGAGGGGAGTATAGATATTTTACTTTTTACTTTTTTTATTTTTTTTAATAGGTACTCCATTATATTTAGAATAAGACTGATCTACTGAACTATCCTTATCGAAAACCGGTCTTGGTCGAATGGTACAAAACTTTGACACTACAGCATTTTGAAGTTATCGAATCCACGTGCTCGATAACCATCAAGTCCAATGATTTACGGGTGAGTAAAAGCAAATATTTCTTTATAAAGTGACCAAGCTTGCTGATGACGGACAAATGTGCAGCATGTGTAAAAACATAAGATGTCACTCAAGCTGTATGTGTCGCTATCGCTGTTCTTCAATAGGTGCTTCGCCCATTTTCTGAAGACTGAAGGATGATACAGCTATTTTGACCATGGATTCACATTCAGCACACGAAAATACATCAAGAAACAGCCAGCTTGGTCACTTTATAAAGAAATATTTGCTTTTAATCACCCGTAAATCATTGGACTTGGTCAACAGTAGTTTTTCAGACTTAAGTCCTATGGACTTTTTTGATCGACACATTGAGAGCTATCATTCGGCAAAGTTTGGTACCATTCGATCGGGACCAGTTTTCCATAAGGATAGTTGCAGGATCCTTTTTTAAGTTTTTTACAAATAAGCATTTACTCTCATATAAGCAAAGATAAAGTCGATATTTTCTCGAGGAAGCCTAGACATACATTTTAATAAATGATTATTTTCCCAGGACATATTTAACAAATCAGAATTTATATTTTATATTTATACAGGGTGTCGCGCTTANATGCAAGGTCTTTGAGGCTGTGGTGCTATGTACACGGTCCCCTACGTTGTAACCGGGTAATTTTGATAATGGGTTCGAAATAGGGTATAGGGGCAGCCATTTTACTTTGGTTCGAGGTTTTCGGTATGCGTGCTTCTCTCGATTTTTAGTGAAAAAAAATTTTTGAAAGACCTACTAAATCATAAAAATTAATCGCTGGTCTATATCACATAAGAAACGCTCATGAGGGAAGCCTCGAAGCAAAGTGAATCTAGCTGTCTCTAGACTCTAGGTTCAACATAGAGATGCTAGATTTGAATATTGATACCGGTATCCAACGATACTGTTACTTTTAAAGTATTGACACTCAAGAGAGGAGTATAGATATTTCAAGTATAGCTTTCTTTTTAATAGGTACTCTATTATATTTAGAATAAGATTTATCTACATTTGAGAGATATAAGTGAAACTACTTACATTTTTTAAGTTTTTTACAAATAAGCATTTACTCTATAGTAGGATCAAATTCGATGCAAAGTAATAAATCATTGCCTGTCAAGGGATCCAGTGCCATACACTTTTAAGGGTTTTTGAAATTGAATAATTTCTTTATACATTATGAAGGGACGAAGGAATGTACTACATTTTACCTCTGTACGCGCCACTGTTATTTACTTGTTTTTTGGAGGCGCTCTCTGTTTTACGATCAAGCTCGCCAGGTTAGTATTTGACATATAACCGACCACTTTGTACACTCGATGCACTTGGGCGACTACAGCTACTACTAGAACATAGTGCGTATGCAGCGGTATTTCAGATTTAACATTGAATTTCATTTTAAATTTGAAATGGTTCATCTTACGCCTCCTAAAAATGATAACACGATTTTCCTTTGATAAAAGACTGACAACTTTTTGCTCTACTTTGCATAGAATACGATCCTACTATAGTATAAACACAGCCTAGATATAGGCTCTGGTATAAGCAAAGATAGTCGATATTTTCTTGAGAATGTCAGACATACATTTTAATAAACGATTATTGTTTTCCTAGGACATATTAAATAAATCAGAATTGTCCACCATGCAATTATTTATATTTTATATTTATACAGGGTGTCGCGCTTAAATGTGATACAAGCCTGTAACTTCTTTATTTTATGGCCAGTTTCAAACATTTCTATTTGGAAGAGTAGAGTAAAAAAACTTTATCTAATGTGATACTGCTGTTTTTATTAATGCAATTCACGGCTAGGACGCGTTTTCTTGACATCAAAACATCTGACTGGTATTAGCGATGATTTTTGTTTCCAAAAAAAAACAGATTACGTATTCTCATTCTGCATCCCTTAAAACGTCTTACCACCAAGTTTCATCAAAATTGATACATCTTCGGGCGAGAACTCCATGATGTCACGAAATGTAATATAAGCCTGTAGCTTCTATATGTTTTGGTCGATTTCAAAAAATTTTTTTTACGGAATGTAGGGTAAAAAAAACTATCTAACTGTGATACAGTGCTCACCTGAAGATGTATCGAATTTGATGAACTTGGTGATACGAAATTTTAAGGGATGCTGAATGAGAATACGTAATCTATTTTTTGGAAAAAAAAATCGCTAATATCAATCAGCTGTTTTGACGTCAAAAAAACGCGTCCTAGTTGACCGTGTATTGTTTACATAAAAATAGCAGCATTACAGTTAGTTTTTTTATCCTACATTCTAAAAAAAAATTTTTTGAAATAGGTCAAAAAATAAAGAAGCTACAGGCTTGTATCACATTTAAGTGCGGCACCCTGTATATACTGGATATTGACCATACACTGCGATATTATAGAAATTAGGTATCGATACCAAAATATGGTTATGTTGAGCCTTGAGTATCGATACTGCAAAGGTATCGAAGTATCGGAAGCATCCCTAGTTCGACGTGAGAAGTGATCTATGTCTAACTTAAGAATGCAACACAGCAATCACTCTTTTGTTTTTAGTGATTTTTTTTTCTTTTTAAATTGCAAAATAAATCGTTCATTAGAAACAGTGAAAATATACGAGTACATCAACTGTGACAGAAAATAAAATACAGGTGTTCTGAAAATAGATGCCACAAATTTATGATTTATGATGGACTATGACCACATCGTCTTTTGTTTTTGCAATATGAGCCTTAAAAAAATAATTTCTTAAAATAAATTTTTGGCCATATTTTACAATGCTCCAAATTGATAGCAAATCAAGTGTAGTACATAAAAATACAGTAATTTTGCCTCTTATTTCTGTTTTGTGGTTACGTTATAAATCGTTGTTCGTGTAGTTCAGTATACTATGGGAGACAGTATTAACAGGAATTTTAAATTAATGGTGGACTTTCTCATTTCAAATTTTTATCACAAATGTTTAAGTTGAAGGCACTTTTTAACAAATTTACTACTTCATGGTACCACAGGCATGACTAAATGAATTTTGAAAAAAATTAAATTCAACTGAATTTAAAAAATATATATTAATTTTATATTTAATTAATAAAAGCTCTAATATGATGGATGAAGTAGCTAAAAAATCGGAACAGACTGACATTTATCACATTTATCTCGAAAATAGTGTATTTTCAGAAATTAATTATTGTAAAATGGAATTTTATATTATGATATACAACATACAATGCAGAAAACCTAACCTCAAAAAGTTGTATTCCAAAATATCACTGGAAAGAACATCTACAAGACATTCAAAAACTTGTAACACTGACATTTTTAGCGTCCTCGAAAACTTAGCTGTCTATTCTAAATTTCAAAGTAATACATTGTATTTTGAAGGTATGGCCAAATTTAATTTAAAAAAATTCTTTGGTACCCTGTACTTTCGGGTTGCCAACCCTCCCGTAATACTCGGGAGTCTCCGGGAATAATGTTCAAAAATAGATACATCGCTCGTAGTAGGTAGAGACTTCCACCTCTCCCTTGCACACTGTTCCTTTGTTTGTTTGTTTGTCTTACTATATACGTATATAAGGACTAAATATTCGACTCGACTTTCATTCAACCTCCCTCCCCCTCTACCCCCCTCTGTTCGGTCAAATCTCCTGAGCTGATTCCATCAAGAGTTGGCAACCCTACTTGTACCACACAGACAAAAGACAATGGGCTCATGGCCCATAGGCCAATATCATGTTTTATTGTGATGTTCTATCAGTCCCTTAACTTATGACACCTTTTTTCAAAAACATCCCGTATGGCGAAAACAGAAATTTAAATTGAAAGACATTGGGCTACAATTTTTTACTTTCAGGAAAATCTTACGTTGCAATGCACATTCAATAATTGTTAATAATGTAAAGAACATACTTTCATCGGCAGAATCAAATCAAACAATAATAAATAAAAAAAATTCTCTCACTTTCCCTCCCCTTACTGTTCATTCTGTACTCCTTTTTGCAATGTTACACTAAACTAAACGAGAAACAATGCAAATTCTAGAGTCTTGTTAAGAATATATAAAAAAAGTGCATGTCTGATTAAGCAATTACTTTTTACCAAAGGCATAAAATTTATACAACCGGAGAAAAGAAAATGCTTAACGTTTTTTCCCATACAACTAAAGATGGTGCAAGGACACTGAAACACCTAAGTACAGAGTAATCAATCAACACAAAATATATTTTTAGAAAATGGATTACTTTGATGTTAATATCGACTTATGAATATGGACGATTATCATGCTGGGATGACAGTTTGTGTTTGACGAAATTTAATTAACTGTATCTGGTAGGTACTTCTGTGTATTTCTGTAACTCCATTAGACACTGATTATGTCATAAATAGAAAAACCGATGAATTGTTATTATAAACCCAGTGTTAATGATGAGAATATTAATTTTTACGTGTGATAGTGACCAACAAACAACCACCATTGGACTCAAAATGGACACTGAATTTATTAGTCACGATAATAATCATCGTTATTACCTACCTTGCAAAAGAGGGTGGTAATCGATGAATATATATCATTTGTATCACTGACACTGATTTTCTGAATTTACCGTCAATTAATTAACTTTTAAAAAGAACTGAGATTATGTACGGCGCCAGTGATACGTATTATAAAACGTAATGAACGAATCTTTAATTGTTTACCTGTAGTCGGGTATAATTTGGATCCGCCGCGTGTGCCGCCAGGAAAGGGTCGTAATACACACTTCCGTCTACAGGTAATGTATTTAAAACCGGTGTGTATCCATGTAGAGCTCCAGCGAGGGGTGTGGGGTGCCTCGCGAATGCTGCGGCAGCTGCTGCCGCTGCCGCTGTCGGATAAGCTGCCCTTGCTCGTCCTCTTTGTATTGCCGCTACACCAGCTCGTAGGGTGGCGTCAGACCATTGTATCACCGGAACTGAAAGGTAAAATTAGTTTGAATGCACAAAGAACTTTCCGTTATTGATTACAATTGTAGTTAAAAAATTTTTTCTACTAGTAGTACGTATTTAGTGAGTAGAAAATAAATTTTAAATAAAGATTTACTAACCTGCGGGTAGTGCAGGTGGTTTTTTCGTTTGTACTCTAGCTGTGGCATTGTTAACCTAGACATGAAAAAATGAAAAAAATCAGTAAACTGCTCTTCATAAATCTAATAAAACCACTTGTTTTCTTTCGGGTACTAGAACAACATTTAACATTCACCCACAAAACAAGTGCTTATATTAGATACAGTAAGAACACTCATTCTATAGTGAAACTAAACTGAGTTGTCCTTACTTGAGGTGCCTAGAAATACAGTGCTAAAATGGGGGAGTCACCAATTTCACATTATTTTTCTTACCGAAAGGATTTATTTACATAACAGTGTTTTTTTGAAGCTATCCAAGATATCTCCGTAATGCTCAAATCTTTTTAATTAAATATTGATTTAAACTGTTTTAGTTATTACATTTTGAATTTTAAAAAAGGCTAAAATGATATGAAATTGGTTCACAACTTTTAGAAAATTTTATCAAATTGTTATGAAACATTTTTTAATATTCGTAAACAATTTAAAATTACATTTCTTGAATTCCGTTTCAATGAATTGTAAGAGAAAAATGTTACAAAAAAAAATATCTGTGTTACATTTTTTAAATTCCATAAATGTTCAGAGAAAACGTACAAAATAATTGTAATGGCCAGTAACGGGTGAATTGATGCTCATTAAAAAATGTTACATATGGAATAAAATGAATCATAGTAAAACAATATTGTAATTTGCATAAGACTGATGCTGTTCTGTAAAATTATCAAAATTTCTACACATCAGCAGTAACAGGAAAAGTAATTTTTTGACTAAAGAAGTAAATTAATGATAGATTTATTCATTATCTATTAACTCTCGCTTCTCACTACAGGGATCTCGGAAACGGTAAGAGGTACGAACTAGCTTAAATGGGGGCAAAGTTGTGTAATCAGGGGTCCAACATTATGCCTCTAAAAAATCAAGGCTAACATTAGTTTTCGAAATATTTAAAATAAACCAAAATTTAGGAAATTCGTTTTTGTTTCATTTCAGCCTTGTTTGAGGTGATATTGAAAAAAGAAGAACACTTTCTCCTGGCCACTTTTTGCCCTCTATCGAATGGCATAGTCAATTTTTATATGTAACGTTTCGTCTTTCTAGGACCAAGGTCAATTTCATTTTTCTAAATACGACCCTAGAAATTTTATTACATTTTTTGCAAGCCTTCATGACCCCCAATATTGTACTGCCTCAGCCTAAACCAGATTCAGATGTTTTGTCTTGAAAAATTAATCTTCAGTGCATTCGTTCCAAACTTATCTTTATTTTTTATTTAGATTTCTTTGTTTATTGAATTATCTTATACTGTAAGTGTCGTTAGACCGTGTGAAATTCATCTATACTCAACGGCCAAAATTATAGATAGTGATATGATATGAGAAAGTATTCTTCTTTTTTAAAAATCAACTCAAACAAGGCTGAAATGAAACAAAAACGGATTTCCAAAATTTCGTATTTTTTTCAAATATTACGAAAACTAATCATGTTAGCCTTGATTTTTTAGAGGCATACTGTTGGTCCCCTGATTACGTATCTTTGCCCCTATTTACCATTTTCCCCCATTTTTTACCATTTTCGAGATCCCTGTAGAGAGAAGCGAATTTGTAACAGTACCTGTAGGTATGATGGATAGGTAGATGTTTATAATTATCATAGTATACTGGCTAATTTATAGTAGAAAAATAATAAAAAATTCGTTTTACTATAAATCATTTTGTGTTTGCTTCACATAATATAAAATATCCGATTTAGCAACGAAACTTACAATCTTACAGTAATTTTGGAGTAATACAATAAAATTTTATTATTGAAAAGGAAAATACATCATATCAAACGTTATTAATGGCGTTGCCTATACCTCATGAAAAAATAAATTAATATTAAATGATAGCTTCACGTTTAAATGTAAACAACCTATTTCTGTATCAAGACTATTAATATTAGTTCTAATAAATATTTACACATGTATAAAAGCTCTAATACTTTGCAATCTTCGATCACTTAAATGCACACAATGACCATTTTACTTCGCATTCTTGCTAAACCCGATGAGTGAAATGTGAAACAAACACTTCTTACATAACTTACGGTTACCTTAAGCTAAGGGGGGCTTAAATCTAGGGTGTTTTGATTTAGGTGGCATGGAGCGACGCCACGGCCCCCGCCCGGCCCGGGGGCCGTGACGTCGCTCCTCTGGCCTTATCCACTTACCTCCTCGGCGGCCCGAGAGCGGGAGGGAGGGGGATCGGAACTACAACTGTCGCGTCATCATCGCATGCCAATAAATGGCCGAAACGGTCTAGAGAGACAATGTACACACATTGGAGAACCGACAGATTTGCTTACAGACTGAATGTATAATATGGGAAGCCGGCGTAACATTTTTTTTTTCTAAAGGCCGCTCCACTCACCAACAATCCAGGAAAATAGGGGTTTTCAATTTTGAATATGTGAATGGTTGTTTTTTTTTAAATGCTATTTGCGGGTATGATTGTGAATGAAAATTGGGGGGGGAGTATTTGAAAATTTAGAGTTTTGGAAGGTTTTCAAAAGTTACTGGTATTTTAATTTTTTTTATTGTTGGGGTGTGGCGAGAGCCCGGTCTTGGAAAGAGTGAAAAGTTGAGCGGCGAGCTTTCCCATATTACTGAAACAAGATACTGCTGAGATACTGATAATAATTAACTGATAGTGTGTGCGGCAAAAGAACGTCAAAACAACACGTGTGAAGCAGGGAGGTGCTACCGGTTAGTCACTAAAGCCATCAAGCCAGCCACACGGGGTTTTGACCTTGTTTTACCGGGGAGGGACGGGACAGGCCAGTGCTACACGTAGAGCTATAATCATGCACACCTCTATTTTTCTTCCCTCAACCACGGTGCCGTGTAGTCGGTCTCGTGCGCGCTCCGCATCAGCACTATTTGCGAATGTTACAAAACCGAACCCCTGCATGCAAAGACAGACAAGACATGCATTATAAACAGCTCTTCAAACTCGTGCAATGACATGATGACGTTAGACATTAGACATGCCTCTGTCTAGAAGCCTCATTCCACACTCGCTCACTAGTCTCGGCTCATGGGTTAGACTACGTTACATTTGTTAAGCCTCAAAGTGGCATTGGCGGCATTCTTGACATGTGGCGGATGTGCGCCTAATTATTTACACTACCGCACGCCGCCGTTGCTCATATCCATCTACTGCCCCCTACGACACCCCCTGCCCAACCGCCTGCTCTACCACTGCCCGTTACACATCACTTCTTCAACCAAAACAAATATTTTTCTCGCAAAACTGATTATTCGAGCACATTTGCAAATGGAGATATTGAAATGAAACTTTATTGTCCAGTAAAATGATATCGACAGGTCTTCAGCTCAAAATATTAAAAAGAATGTGACCAAGTGACCAAAAAATTTAAAATAAATGATCTAAAAGCGACTTTTTAAAAATAAGTGAAAAAAGAACTATTTAATATTAACATTCTATAGTTATACATTATGTAAAACAAAAAAAAGCAGAAAACTATTTTTCATTCTATGGAAAAAAGTTGTTCGACATAGTTTTAAACAAGATGTCCCCTGCAAATGAATTATGTATAGAATAGTCTTTAAAAATCAATAATACGCCACTCCAGGTAAGAAACACAAACAACTAATCTTTTTTAAACACTTAATATGCACATGATGTCCCCAGATTGCTTAAGTCACAGGTTTTAATGAGAAAAACATTTTTGAATTGAAACTTGACAATTTTGGACAATGATCCTACTTTATTACACATATTTTTGCTTCTAAAAAATTAAGTAAGCCTTATCGGAAACAATAAAATATTTTCTGTTTAGGTATAAGATATTGAAAAATTTAATTAGGAAAATTTTCTGATAATTTTTTCACTTTTTAAAATACATATTAACTAATAATGTGACAGAAAAAGTTGCCCCGCATTATTTTATTTTTGAATAAAATCATTATTTAACTGGAAATGAAAAAATATAGAACTAAAACAGAAGAGAAAAAATCTGAAAAATTTTTTTTTTAGTCCCTACCTACCAACCCTCTCACCCTCCTTTTCCCCTCCACCCCTTAAATACCAGGAAAACCCATCGCTTATTAGAGGAATCTTTAAAGTGCTTAGAGTTGCGAAAGACATTCAATTCCTATGAATCTTACATATGAAGAGTTTTTTGGGTCGTCAGTCTCAGAATATCGAAATTCAAGATGGCGGATCCAATATGGCGGCCAAAAAATTAAAATGTCTTCAAAATGCATGAATTTTTGTGTTGGGGGTTTTTGTGTCTTTGGGTATTCCATTTGGCGAGTATAAAAATTAAAATGTCTTCAAAATGCACAAATTGTGTTGAGGGTTTTTTTTGGGTCGCTAATTACGATATATGGAATACATCATTTTGAATTTCGTAATTTTGCCTTCAGATTCGTAATCAGAGACCCAAAAAACCCTACTACACAAAAATTCATGCATTTTAGACATTTTAAATTTTTTGTCCGCCATGTTGAATCCGCCATTTTGAAATTTGTGCTTTTGAGACCAGATTCTTGATCAGTAACCCAAAAAACTCTTCATATGTAAGATTCACAAGAATTGAATGTCTTTTGCATCTCTAAGCTCTTTAAAGATTCCTCTAACAAGCGATGGTTTCCCCGGCATTGAAGGGGGTTGGTCCGTTTAGGGTGGACACGATTCAGTATTGCTAGTAGGTACTAAAAAAAATTTTTTCAATTTTTTTCAGCCAAAAATAAATTAGGCCAAAAACCGGCATTAGGGGACCTCCTCCTTTGGCAGACAGCTGTAACATGCCAAACTATGCCTTAATTGTGCCATCTGTTAATAAGAAGTTGAATTAAAATCTCATACCACTGGCCTTCTCCTTTTATTTACTAATAGGGAGGCAAAGAGGCGTTACTTAAAGAAGTTTTCTGTGATAATGAAGGCGTATGATTTGAATTAAATTATGTTTTTAACGAAACTGCATATATGGTCCACATTATCTTTCATTGTAAAATAATATTTAATGATAAAACGCAAACGCCCTATTACATTTATTTGACATACCAAATTTCAATACAGTTCACCGACTTTGATACTGTTGAGAAAAAGTGACCTAAATGTAATTTTTTATTTTTTGGTTATTTCTCTTGTAGAAAAATAAACTGCGAATTTACTTAAAAACAAAAACCCACTGGAAGTCCTCAAAAATGAGGACTTCAAGTATAAATTGGTATATAAGAAAATATTTCTTCATTTTTGACACCACGAATAGCTTAATATTCTCATGTATCACAATACAGTATTGCTTGCTTACAGTATGCTGAAGAAACGATGTGTAACTCAAAGGGAGATCGGCGCGTTTCGGCATTCGGTGTACTTAGGGCTTCGGTTTTTAACGATTTTGGGATGTGTACTGAGAAAGAAAGAACCTGATCGAAAGACATTCATCAGAAAGCCTGACAACATCGGAAGTATATATTTACATACAGATGACGTAATAATTAAAAAGGGTTATCCATTGCTTGCAACCATATCGCTCATTCTCATTCACAGCACACAAGTCGAACGTTCCTTAAACTAAACTTAAAGCTACAAATATTATTTTATCACTACGTTTATTGTATGGTAAAGAGACATTTTAATACACAATCAAACTATTACATACTATTTCTAAACTGTGTAAATAAAATATTATAGTTGGATGGCGATTCATCGTCAGTATTCAATGATTAATATTTTGATTATAAAAATGAATAAAGCGTCATGGAATTGGTGACGATGCGTCGCCAAGATAAATTATTTAGTTGGTTTGTGTACTACTTTCCAGCAGGTGAAGTCTTATGAGTACAAAGCTGTCTAAAATAAAAACTAGAGCACACATCCCAAAGCCACCGTATAAAAACCAACATATAAGACAGAATAATAACAAACATTACGGGAAATCCACAAGGCAGAAGGAACTAACAGATCGAGGCTGCACAAGTTCCGGCTAGACACTACAAGCTTTAAGAGGAATACGTTTCATTCCAAGTTGGACGTTAAACAACTGAGAGGTGTCATCGAACGATAGTTCTGCCGAACTCCTCACTACTTCGGAGAGACAAAGATTTTACCAAGCAACAGGTACCGACACCACTTGAGCCTAGGAGTGTGTATTTGTAACGCATTACTTTAGGAAAAAAAAAAGAGTAGTGTCCAGCCCGTGTGCAGCGAAAGTAAATGGATATGAATTCGGACAGAACATATCATAAAATCAGACGAACTGAAATAGCTTCTACAGCACAATCATTATATGAAAAAATAAAACCAAAATCTCACTACGCCATCATATGTCATATGTTTAGTAATAAAGTCATCAAATTGCACAAATTGTTTTTATATATTATAAGGATGTATATGTATATCATAAGTAATTACATGCATCATATAATAATTACACTGTAAATAAGTAATAAATATGTGAAGAGCCTACACAGCTTTGCTGCTATCAAATCTAAATGTGATATTATTTTATACAGGGTGTTATTCACTAGAAAAGCCCATAGATGAAGTGCAATCAAATGCCCATTAAATCAACTATATTTGTGCCAGTCAAAACGGGTCATATTAACACTAAATCAAACCAAAATCGAGTCCATAACGTGTATGCAATACTATTATCGGTCCAGCAGTTCATTAATTGTAATTTTCCTCAACGTATAACTGTGTAATCAATCCAAGCAACAAATGAAGCAATTGTCTCGATGGTTACAAGGTCACGCGAATGCATTTTGTTTCATTGTCAACAAGATCTAACAGTAAATCAAATCGCCTAATCTTAATAGACTGAAAACTTCTAAGAATATAACCATTTAATAGCATGTTTAAACATGTGTCAGGTGAAATACACAAAATAAGCAACTTAAAACACATGCACGTCTTAATTCAAAGCAAAATTTTTGCAAGATTATTAACTAAAGTTAAGATACATGTAAATCTGCAGTGCTTTGGAACACAAAGTTTACCGCATGAAATTAATCAAAACAAAAAGAAATATTTGTAAATCCATTTCAACTCAACGTTCTGTGGTATACAGATTGTCTCTTTTAAAGGTGTATACCATAAGACCTCCTAACGTCAGTATGTTTAAAAATTAACCTACTTTTGATCGTCTTATGGATGCCATATTGGTAACTGCATTGTACTTGAGGGTGGAAAAATGTCAATTTCATAATTTATTTAATTTAATCACGATTGCCATGAAAAACAATTGAAAATTTTGACTTCCAGTAAGTGGAGTATACACCAAATTTCCGTAATAAAAGTGACATGAAAGAAGTCACGTTTCTAGTTCTTTCAGGAAATTTCAGGAGAGTTTGACTTATCTTTCATTTCCTTTTTATAATTTTAAAGCATTAAAACATGTAATTTTTTGTACTTTAACCATATCTCTTCTCGTTCAGAAGATTCTATGGTGACCATCCTGTATACCAATGAACTGTTATTATTGCAGAAGTCAAATAATGAGGACAAAATTTTTTATATGCAATTCTATTTAATTTAAATAAAAATGGCTTTCGAAGCACTGGTAAAAATTGCTTTGATATCATGTCGATACGAAGGATGAACAAAAATAATTGATCCATGCAACTGCTTGATTAAATGTAACTATCTGGATGGGGAATTGGTAAATCAAGGAAAACTTATTCTAATAAAAAAATATTATCACAGTGGTACTATTTAACTAAAAATTAGTTTTGATAGCAGCTTTCATACCTCTCACTATTACAGAAAGAACGACAGCGATAAAGAATACAGTTTAAGGTTTCGATAATAGATGGAGCATGTCTGATAAATCATAATTAGTTAATTCTGTTTGTAAATATGCTGATAAATTTAAGTATTTGCAATAAATATTTATCTTTCGTATATTTACACTGTAACTAGATGGAAATTTGAAACATATACAGCTAGTTCGAACAGAATTAGTGATAGAAATAGTAAAATGAATAAAAACGATAAAATGAAAAGATGAGGATGACGAGCAAAAAATGTTCTAGTTCTGTGATGCACAGTCTACAGGCTTTTATGTGACCACAACCCCTAAATAGTAAAACAACTCAATTAACAAATATTACAGTAATGTTAGCTACCAAAAAATTTCTGGAAAACATGAAAAAATGAATGAACGTCCACAATAAGTAGCGAAACAACAAACTTATGAACAATAGTTATATGCCAGATTAGTTAAGAATAAGAAATTCAAGACAATACATTTACAAAATTCAAAAGTTATTGCAGCAAGGCCTATTCAAAGTTTGATACACATGCCAAAAATACGAAACGGCAAAAAGAATGATACATTTCTTAAATGAGTTTGCAACAGTCCGTCTAACATATTGCATATTTAATGTTTCGTGTATTATGTTTTGAAAGTCATGTTACGGTTCAGTTCAAGTTAGGACGAACTTTTTATGTGATTATCTTATTCTCTTTTGAACCATTTCTACTTTACCCACCGCTACTTGATTCTGCTCCTAAGGAAACATTAAAAAAAATACATTTTGTTTATACTGTGAAGAAATCTCCCGTCTAACATATGATGCAAAAAATAATCGTTAAATCATAAAATATGGGACAATTTCTATGAATTTTTTTTTTAACTTTTTCTGATAAAACATTTAACTTGATTATAAGGTTATCCGAGGTTGTGAAGATTGTACAATCACAGCATATGTAAATCAGCAAATTCAGACGAGCGGAAATCTTAAGACCACGATTCACTAGCTGTGCATAATAAACAGAATGTATTTAAAAATTTTACAGTTTGGAAATCGTGTTCAAAAAAATTCAAAATTGGTGAAAACGGTGCAATAAGACGATGTACAGCTACTACTAAACTAAACACAAATAAATATATAAACTACATTTAAGAAAAATATAGGTATATATGGCGATAAAAATATTTTGCTGATATGTGCAATACATTTTGAAACTAAAATGTTTCTAACAATTTAGACAATACATTGCGTAATAGTTTCCCCAAAGAAGCATTTAGAAGCATATTTTTTGCTCAAGAGCGTTAATCTTGGAATTATATAATTACCCTATTGGTTTTAAATGTAAAATAATAAAAGCTTGTACTAGGACTCTGAATTAATTTTCATGGATTTACAATAGATGGCATAACTGATGCATTAGACACTTCTGTAACTTTGAAGTGTAAACAAAATTTTTTTCTCATATCGAATTGCGAGTCAACAAAACACCATTTGCGGGGAGTTTTAATTTTCCTGTTTAAGGGGGGAAACCACATTAGGAGGCTGATTTTCGGACGTTCCGCATGAATTTCTTCGAGTGGGACGAATTGATTAGAATTTGATCAAACTTTGACATTATTTTATCAATATTGTGAACTACATTTACAATTTTTTTCAAGTCATTGGTGTTGAAGATGCCGCAGTTATGGTCTGTTGTTCACCGAAGGTCGTTGTATGAGTTGGTTGTTCACGGGACATCCACATGTCCCAATTTTGGTGTAAAAGCAAAATGATTGTTTTCCTTCATTATTAACATGTTTTCTCAGAATATGAACCTTATTGCGGATATAAATTGCGAAAATTAAAGTTTTGACACGTGTTTGAAAAAAATGTATCAATTTTCATCATAAATCATAAAATCATCATAAAAAACACCCTTAAAATTATGACATCATCCCAATTGTTGGTTCATGTCCTTTGTAATTTCATAAAAAAACGTACATTCAATTTTCATAACGGTTGGTTCATTAACTTTTTGAGATTAAGTTCCTGTGAATCACGTGAATAAAAAAAATGTTGTTTCGAGAAAAACGCGTTTGATAATTTCCAAAAACTAGAAATTCGGAGAAAGTTATCAATAATATAGAATACTTTCCGATTGATCAGCGATTCTAGCACCATACAACAGTGCTTCTTCTTCTTCATAGGCATCATTCTAAGCTTACATCTATTCTTTTCTTGCTTAATAAGTGACTAAACTACCTGAACAAGCGCTCCGCCCTACCTGCTATGCACCCGAGCACTTACCCAATGGGCGTTTTGTTTTAGGCTCATAAAATCGGAACAAATGGGAATTACATTTTGAAATTTTCGCAGTTATACTAACAAACTACGCAATAAAAAAAATCCAACGTTTTGAACCTCCCAATGTGGTTTCCCCCCTTTATTTTAAAGAAAAATGCTACTGAAAGTGGTGTTGGAAACTTACGGTGAACATACTCTATCAATAAAAACGTATAAGTATAGATTTTGACGTTTTAGAAGTGGTGATTTTGATTGAAGAAGCTCTGGTCAACCGAAAGAGTTCAAAGAAGAGGAATTAGAAGCGTTACTTGACCAAGAATCATGTCAAATGCAACATGAACTTGCTGAACAGTTTCCAAGTATTTAAATACACTCGGTATGATTCAAAAGCAAAAAAATTGGGTGCCATACGAATTGAAGCCGAGAGATATTGAATGGCGATTTTTCACGTAGGGACAATTACTTCAACGGCAAAAAAGAAAGGATTTTTTCACATCGTATCGTCACTGGCAATGACAAATGGATATGCTGCGATAATCTTAAGCGTAGAAAATTGTAGGGTTTGCCTGGTCATGCATCAACATCGATAGCAAGGCGGAATATTCACGGTTCAAAGCTCGTGCTCTGTATTTGGTGGGACCAGCTTGATGTTGTATACTATGAACTGCTTCAACCGAATGAAATCATCACGTGAACGCTAGCGAAAACAATTGATGCGTTTGAGCCATGCATTGAAGGAAAAACGGCCATAAGTAATTTTTCAACATGACAACACACAAACAAATATTGCTCATGAAGACATAAAATACTTAGAAATGCTGAATTGAGATGTTTTACCCCAACCGTTATATTCACCAGATATTGCTCCAGCGGATTACTACTTGTTCCGATCCATAAAACACGGCCTGGCTAAGTGGGCTTCCAATCTTAGGAAGATACGAAAAATTGGATCGATTGGTAGATAGCATCAGAAGATGCCAGAAAGATGGGAAAAAGTAATGATTAGAGATGGACAATACTTTGAAAAATAATAATGTACAGAATTTTTCAAAGTAAAGCCTTGAATTCACAAAAAAATCCCACAAAATTGATTCAGTCCTAGTATAATTAAAATTTTTAAGATTTTTCAATATTTAATACTTATTATTTAACATTTTGATGTAAAATGTGATGATACCAATTATTAGAGAGATTCAGAACCCTTTATTTGAGAATCGTGTTAACGTTATAATGACATCAGTAAACGCAGACGCATCATCTTAGTACCATATTACCTTAAAAGTGGTTTTGAAACTATAATTTATAACATAACACATTGTCACTAACAAATAGCAAATAAACTGGCTAAAGTGATTAAAAAAATATAGCAAAGTAGTGAGAAAACTATAATTAATTCTTCAAATTAATAATTTCAGTATTTTTAAATTATATACAATTATTATCTATTTTAATACGCTTTCCGGTACAAGTAAATAGTTCTTATTACAGCACTTTTCCATCCAAGGATATCAAAAATTGCCAAATGAGATCAAAGTACTGACAACGGAAGTGAAACTGCTGGTTTACACATGCTGTGGTACGGTTAAGATCTTTTAAGTAGCAACACAATATATTTTGTAGATCGAAAAGATGAAGATTTTATTAAAGTGTATTTTTTTCTATCAATATTTTTGGCAGGTATCATTTTCTAAAAATTACATGTAATATCAAGAAGCAGGTTAATGAAAATTAAAATAAACTAAACTAAATAGCACTGTCTCGTCACAAATATTCAAATATAAATATGTACGAGTATACATAAATATATTTGTCTATCTTCGTGAGATAAAAATGTGAAACGGAACTTAAATTTTCGTCCCACGTGATCGTTTCTAAAGAAAAAGAAAATAAGAATTTCTGCAATAACCGTGACTATTTAATAGCAACATAGCTGGCTCAAAAATATTTTGTCAATATTCATCGTATTGAATGGAATATAACATACCTTCGATCCTCTCTCATTAAATATAATTTCTACATCTAGTATGGGGCCAAATTGCTGAAAAACAAGACCAAATATTATATACTGAATAATTTACTGTAAAAATTAAAAATATATATCACAAATAATTTTTAGCTTCATCTTTCACTGTATTATATGCTACTTTTATCGAGATCCCTAAGACATTATTTTGTTTACTTCCATTACTATAGATTAAAAGGCATTATTTACATCATGCAGTCAACTGATGTGCAAATTAACGAGAATTCAGATACAAGAAGACTTACCCCAAACATTGCCCGGAGGTCCGGGTCTCTAAACCTGAACGGAATGTTTGAGACGTGCAGCCTCTTCGGCTGGTTTTTTGAAGCGTCTGTAGCTGCCTGCGTGGCTGAAGTATTCGAACTCTCCGAAGCCTCCGACGTGGGGGGTTGTACTGTTGTTGAATTTTCAGACTCCTAGTTACAAAAAATATAAAAAACGAATAAAGGATTTTCTAAACACATTTATGAGGGCGGACTGATATTCATTTCGGTTCTTGTAGGGGCCTTAGAACTAACAACGAGAACCAAAATTAATATTAGGGTAGGCCTAGAGGTTTTGAAGAGGGTCCAACAAGGGCAGGTGAAATATTTCTAGTTAAAGCTAAGGAAGTACAATTAGGGAATTGCAAATGCACTGAGCAGTGCTCTCGACTGCGGCAGCAAATCGATTGGCGACCGGAAAAATTCAAAAATACAAGTAACCCAATGAAAATTGCTTGCCTATCATTTTAGTTCTAAATACAAGAACTTTTATTCCAAGCATTGCAGGCCTGCTGGGTTAATTTGTGCTGCTTGCTTGGAATAAAACTTCTTGTGTTTTAAATTAAAATGATAGGCAAACAATTCTATTGAGGGCACTGGCACTGAGCATTTCGCTTTACGCAGTCTATTTTGCAACTTTTTTAAAATGACGTCTATTCCGAAAATCTCAGTATCAGAAAAATTTAATGCCGAAAATTTCGGGACAGAAAAGCGGTCGGTACCAAATCCTCCAAGTGCAATGCATGTATGGTAAATGGTGGCTACCCGGTACATAGTCCACGTTGTAACAACCCAAAAAATCATCATATGGGTTGTGAAAGCCTTGAAACCACTATGACCAATTTATTGTAAATAATATTTGCATTGCCCAATAGAAACTATTTACAGGACAACAATCTAACAGTAAATTAGCAGTAAAATATAATGAAGAGATTACAATATTCAAATAAATAAAAATGTATCTGCGTAGATAATCATATTATTTCAATGGGAAATCAAAATTTACGTAAAGGATAACAGGTACTTCTACTTGTGAGTTTCAGAACAAAACTAAATGTTTGTAAACTCAAAATACTGTTTACCAACACTCGACAAAGTTGACAATCTACATACAAGTAATAAATATATTAGTATGGAGCCTTCATAAATGATTACAAGCCACTTGGCCACTGAGCTTAGGCAACCAACATCTCAAAACTAAAAATCCCTAAGCCATTTGTTGAGGTAGGTCACGCGACTGTCGGTATCCAAACAATTTATGACAGTTTATTTATCAGGATTTATTAATTCCATTGTTTGGATACAGGTCCCTGATCTATCCCAAAAATTTTTTTGAAAGTGTTTTTATTCCACCTACTTCTGAACATTCAATATCTCTAATAATTCATGCAACAACTCAGCATTCATTAATTTTGAACCTATATCTGAATCTGAAACTTTATTAGCTTCCAAAAAATTAAAAAAGAAGATGACATCTGGGCCAGATAATTTACCCTCATTCATTATAAAAGATTGTATATCTGTGTTCGTTGTTCCTTTAAAAATATTATTAACTTTTTAAGAATGGCAACAAAGTGAATTTTGAAAATGATCGTCCTATATCTACCCTTTCCAGCTTTTCTAAAATTTTTGAAATTATACTGTATAATCATATATAGAATGTTATTAGAGATCAGTTAATGGTGGAACAGCACAGTTTTATGATGAACAGGTCTACTGTTACAAATTTGATAGTTTTTATTCAATTTGTATCTGATACTTTAGATAAAGGCGGTCAAGTGGACACTATTTATACAGAATTTGCACAGGCATTTGACAGACTTGATCAGCAAATCCTTTTAGAAGAAACTTGTCGAATTTGGCATTAACAGCAACGCGTTATCACTATTTAAATCATACTTAAATAATAGAGTCCAATTTGTTTTATATAAGTAAGGTTTGTATCACCTATTTTGCAACTTCAGGAGTCCCTCAGGGCTCAGACCTAGGGCCTTTATTATTTCTAATTTTTATTAACGACATTTGTCAAATACTTGACTGCAATAAGCTATTATTTGCTGATGATATGAAAATCTTTACATCGATTTATTCCATTGGTGAATGCTTAATATTACAGAAGTCTTTAACCAATTTGCAAACTTGGTGTTCAAATAACAAATGTAAAATTGTTTCTTACACCAAGAAGAAACTGCCTATTAGTTTTTAATGTTATTACTGACATTGCACTTTCTCGCTATGAAACTGTTAAGGGCCTTGGTGTACTTTTTGATTATAATTTATCTTTTCGAGAACACATATTTATTAAAATAAATGAGGCAGCAAAATCGTATGCCTTTATATTAAGAACATGTAGAAACTTTAGCAACATTAAAACTTTAAAAACATTATATTATTCGTATGTCAGGTCTAAATTAGAATATGGTTGCATCATTTGGAATCCATACTATCACAGTGTTATAAAATCAGTATTGAAAGAATCCAGAGAGTTTAAAATTTGTATTGTATCTGTATTTAGATTAAGTATTTATAATTTTTAGTAGTAATTATTTAGAAATTTAATTGTTTTTCGTTCAGGTTAACTAGCGTCTCTGTGGCACTTAAATTCTAAGGAAAATAGTCTCTCACCTGTGGTATTTGCTCGCACTTGTAGGTGGCTTGGTTCTGCGTGATGGCGGCAGGGCTGCAGGCGATGCTGACGGCCGGCGGCTCCGCCGAGGCAGGTGGTTGCGGGGGCGGCGGGCTGAAGGGCGGGCCGGCGCCCGCTGTGGCCGCCCCTGCCGGCGGCGGCAACAGGGGCACGGCCGGCTTGTCGTCGGCCGGTTTGACTTCCCCGTTCTGGGCAGGAAACGCGGCCGGCGTGGCCGCGCCGAACGGCGTCGTCATACCCGTCTGGACCATGTGCTACAAAAAAAAATTATTAATCAATTGAATACACCAGGTGACCCGAGTCGCAGGGTCACCCTTATAATAGCTGTGACATAAAATTAGCAACAAATGAATAAATTCCGTACGCAACCTTATTTTTCTATTCTGGTTTAATTTTCGAAATTTAAAAGGAACACCCTATACATTGTTTCTGCTTGCTTCCGTTCAAATTTATATTTTAAACACTTCTAAGTTGTTTTAGTTAAAATTTATTTCGTTAAAATCAATATTTTTCATTTTTTTATCTATCTAGAGTGCCTGGAAAGCAGCCAAATCACTTCATTTTACAAATAAATGTACCAGAAAAATTAAATTTTAAGCAGGCGACGGGAAATCTTACATTTATTTTATGGTTACTTAAATATTGCTAAAGTGGTTTTTTCTAAATAACTGTTTCCTAATTCAGCGAAGATAAAGGGTTAATAGGTCTACTAAATTAAACCTAAATTTATGTATAGGTCTCTTTCTAATGCAGTCAATTAAATATAAATGGAATGACATAACTGGTATGTCGTTAATATCAATTGAAATAGTGTTAGTGAATGTAAATTGAACACAAGATATTCAAGATCCGGCTCGAAGGACCACAAATGTTGTTACTGCTTGATAATTCAAAATGACACAAAAAATTGGAAAACGTGGCTTGTTTTTTTTCTCAAAAACCTTTTTATGTAAGAAAACTGTGGATATAAACGGTAATGTCTTAATCTCTTAAGTTTTTTAAGGAAAAAAATTTCGAAATTGAAAATGCTCAAAGTATAGGATAGGAACATACATAAAAATACATATATGTTTGGAAATGATCGGGGTTTCAGTATTTTTCTACTTACTAATAAGACACTTTTTTCTTTGGATTGTGAGGGTCTATCGTTTTGTGTTTTTGACATATAAGGCTTCAAAAATGATTGCTATTTCAACAATAATTTTCTAAAAAAAACAATATATTCCGTTTAGATTTCTTACGGGTTTTCAAGGGCAGTAAATACCTCAGATTATTAGTTTTCAACTGTGTATGATCCCTCTGATACTTTTTTTGACATAATTTCTTTGAAGTTATTTCTTGAAAAAGCACTTTTTACAATTATTCTGTCTTGCAATTGTAAAACTTGAAATTATGTTAAAAAATTCTGATTGCTTTGCAAGAGTTTTGTTGGGAATTTTGTTGAAAAAATGACTTCGTTTACGACGAAATGTCGTTGTGTTAGCTCCTGTATTTATTGTACCTTTTTCCAACCCACCCTGTATAAATTATGTATAAAATCCCCTAATTTACTTGCAAGCAAGAACTACGTGATGTGACGAGGAAAGTTCTGTACATATAAAAAAAGGAAGAAAAGAAAGCTCTTAAAACGCACTGGCCACTCAAGGCCATCAAGTCGATGGGTGTGTGCTGGGAAAGCGCTCGCAATGATGAAAAGTGGAGCAGAAAACGCATTGGTTAAATTAATCAATGTAATAATCTCGACATACGGGTCCTGTATCTGTGAAACTGACGGAACGACCGACGGCTGTTAATGGAATAACCATAAAATTATTATTGTTATGAACAGCGAGGCAAATGAATTTCAGCACGATCCTTGTGTACAAAATTATTACGGACAGAAAATTAAAAAGCTTCATTCGCAAATATCATTGGCGGTGAAGTAGGCGACCAAATCAAAAGTTTATTTTTATTTTACAAAAAGTTAAAATAATAAATAGAATGATGTACACTTTTTGTTTCCCAATTATTTCTAATTTTATTGCCAGTGTTTTTCTTTCTTTTCTGAAAACTACATATTTTTTATTTTATTCCTTTTTTTGTCACATCATGTGGAGTCACTTTCTGCAGTATGTTTGTTCACTATATTTCTTAATTAGAATACAAAATGATAGTTCTAAAGCCACAGAAACACGCATTGACCATTAAAATTATAAAAACATTTTTGTAACACCCTATACGTATATTGAACTATCTTATGAGAATTTTTCGCGAGTTCCTGTTTGATCAACCGTAACCAGAAATCAGCTACCGGTGCATTTTCGTGTAATAGCGGGAATTGGGGAATACAAGAATAAGCTACACTTATGTCATCAGTATCTATAAAACGGGAACTGGTTTTCTTACAGGTGTCTAGTGGTGAGTTATATACTAGCGGTTATTGTCTCCATGATTGTGACAATGTGACATAGCAAAAGTAAGGTTAAAGTAAAGATACATAGCCAAACCCAAACCACGCAAAAGAGAAAACGAAAATGGAATCGGAAAACGAGGAAAACGTTCAAATTACTTTGAATTATTTAGACGATTATACATACAGTCCTTAAAGATTTGCAAGCAACTAATATTTTGTTGAATGGCTTAATCAAACATGCAGTATCATTTTCTATTACTGTTTTCAACAGTTTATGAAATGTTTCTTTCTTCATATGAAATAACAGGAAAAATACGTGTTCTTGGTATCTATCCAACCAAATGTGAGGGCCAATTAATTACATGGCGGATATGTTCTCTAAATTTTATATACAATTTTCTGCGGTATTACTGCCTTACGAAATTGTTCCCAATTTCCACAGAGATATAGAAAAGGAAGTCTTCAGAGTAAAAATTTAAAAAAAAACATTTTTTCGAAAAGTTCGAAGAAAAACATAACCTGAAAACGAAAAACAAACATACAACCGGTTACCGCGGAATACCACCTCATTTTCGGCGAAGTTTGCTTTGAGAGCAAACAAGAGTAAACAATTTTTGTTCAGTGACAAGGAGGGGATGAACCGCTAAGTTTCTGACGGTCATCAACGGGAACTCGCGAAAAATTCCTATTAGTATCTAAAATTAAATAAACTACAAAAGGAGGGGTATAACGGTGAGCAAATGTCGGTAAATTCACACCCGACAGGCCATAGATGAGAGAATGTGGCAGACTCGCATGAAAACCTAACCACTAATTTCCCCGCATTAGCTTATTCCGCATTGTGACGTCAGAGAACATTTTGTGGGTTCATAGGAATATTGACACTTCTTTTGCCATGTAAATAATTTTTTGTTATGTAAAAGTTTACAGATTATAAGGCTATTTTTAACCATTTTATGACGTTTAAACAAAATTTAATATTTTGTGATAGGAATTTGAAAAAAAAAATTATGAAAAAATAAACTTTACTTAAGAACGACATTGTAGCGCTTCTTTTTCCCACATTTTGTTATTTAAATCTGTCGATTCGAGGAACGCTCTGCCATTAAACACCACCGACATGACGGATCGCCAGGGGAAATTTAATCTTATTTATAGAATTCAATTCCAGGTTATTTCACTTCTGAGGCCAACGTCGAAACGGGTCTTAATTTAGCAGCGCGAGTGTCGAGGGGCAGAGCTCGTTAAGATTCGCGACAAAGGATTAGCCGTAAATAAATCCACGGCATTTGCATATCCGGAGGCGAACATTCCCAGTGCAACAAGAAAAAGAGGAAAAGCGACGGCCGCGAGATATTTCTGGAAACGGCTGGAAGGCGTCGCGTGCCTTCGTCGACGAGTTTTGTCACTGTCGTCGGTGACTGGCGCATCCGCCAGAAAATATAATCCACGCTTTATTGACAAGTGTAGTCGGACTGGCCAGTCCTGCTGACGAGTGACTCGTTTCGGAAGGTCTTTACTGGATGTCTAAGTCTCTACTTAATGTCTAAAATTTTCGGAAAAAATATGAGGAGAAAAATTAGAAAAATATGGGAAATTAGGAAAAGTTGAACTATTATTTACAATCCAGGACATAAATAATTCTAATCACTTTGCTTGCATGATAGAGGACATGAAAATGAGCAACTTTTATGAAGCAACTGACAGCTTAAATACTTCTGTTTTCGAGAAAATTAATTGAGAAAATTATCCATAAATGTAAGCCGACCCTGTGCATCTTGTGCACGTGCGTTATGTGTTGCAGTATTACTTGGTCGGCGTATAATAGTATATTACGTAATAAGTGTTGTAAAAAGCATTTTACCTACGACCACTACTATAATGTAAGATTCATATTACGTACGGTAAAAAAATCGCACAGTTTTCCTAGCAACCGCCTAGCAACGGTCAATACAATACTGTTTGTATTGACCGTTGCTTGGCGGATGCTAGGAAAACTGTGCGATATTTTTACCAAGCTGTGCGATTTTTTTACCGTATGATGTAAGAGGAATCTTGCATTGATCGCAGACGGTGTGTTTTTAAGCATTTAAAGTAGTGGTCGTAGGTAAAGTATAGTACGTAATACGTGCTGTAATGCAATTACGCACTCATAGAATTACGCACTCGCCGCTACGCGTCGTCGTGCGTAACTTTTCCATTCGTGCGTAAAATGCTTTTTACAACACTTATTACGTAATATACTATTACGCACGAATGGAAAAGTTACGCACGACGCCGCGTAGCGGCGAGTGCGTAATTCTATGAGTGTGTAATTGTATTACACCACGTATTACGTACTATACTTTACCTACGATCACTACTTTAAATACTTAAAAACACACCGTCTGCGAACAATGCAAGATTCCTATTACGTCGTACGGTAAAAAAATCGCACAGCTTGGTAAAAAAATCGTACAGTTTTCCTAGCAACCGCGTAGCAACGGTCAATACAAACAGTATTGTATTGACCGTTGCTAGGCGGTTGCTAGGAAGACTGTGCGATTTTTTTACCGTACGTAATAGGAATCTTACATTGATCGCAGACGGTGCGTTTTTAAGTATTTACAGTAGTGGTCGTAGGTAAAATGCTTTCTGATCAAGAACTAGCAGATATGGTGTTAATTAATGTACGGAGAATGACAGTATAATTTAAATGAAACTTGTCGTTTTGCGTATTTGCATGTATGCGGACTAATTTTGACCGTCGTTTTTAAGCATGTTTATTAGCACTTTATGGAAACAACTTTGAACAATGTTTGTACAGCATATCGTATATTGGTAAGTAATTCGTTTAATTTTGTGTTGCTTTTAAACGAGATT